TGAAGTAGCATTAACTGGTGACCAACATAGGGAAGCGCTTCGCGGGCATCAGCCTCAAGGAGCTCCTGGTTGCGGAGAAAGCTGCGGGGAGAATTAGACAAGCTCACATGGCTGCTTCGATATGCACATTGGAACCTACTCTGCTGCTGTCTGCGAATCATCCGAGGCTTGCGATTGCTGGGAAAAACTATTGCTGCGTGCTGGTGCAGCCTTCTCTTGGGGAGAATCAGTCGACATTGTGATGGGGGCGTTTGCGTGCAAATAAAGCAAATACAAGTAGAGCTGTGGATCTGCAGTAGTTACGACAACACAAATGAGTAAAAAGTTCCAATTCTTGCTGGCATTTAGACTAGACTTTGATAGATCTGAAGCTGGTGGCATCAGTCTGAAGGGTGACGGCGAAGGGTGTTGCGACCGATTCGACGCATGATGGTGGGCAGTGGACAGCTGGTGACGGATGTGTAGCGACAAAATAACGCGATACGGTTTTGCGGCAGAAAGTGACGGACGATGCGGCGCATATTTTTGTCAGCGCCCTGGTTTGCGCAACCACTTTGCGCGTGCTCTAATTTGGTCTAGCGCCTTAACCACTTAACGCGTGAGACGCGTCTCGAAAACGCGACATTGAATGCGATGCCAGGCTCCCTTTCGTCCCACATCTTAACTCGCTCCAATTTATCATTTATCTCTCCTGTCCGACAACATACGCCCCGCCAATTTGTATTCTGTCCGCCTGTCTGCTCTGCACATTCTCCTGAACTGAACTTGGCGACTAGAACACCCAGGCGATGAGGTAGGCTTTTCCCTTGTGCACAATTTGCAGCAAATTGAACTAACAACAGCATAGTTCCCCGCTCCACAATAGCTCGACCTCGGGCAACCGTGGCGCTGGTCCACGATCGAACCGCAAACGCTCGCGAGCTGGTGGTGATGATGCCACATCCTCTGTCGGGCTAGGATCAAGCCCCATGCCCTCATCTCCTCCAGCCCCTTTTAACATTGAACACGGCGTCGAAGACGATGACGACGTCGAAGAGGAGGCCGAAATCCAAGACGATCTTGACGATATTGATGAAATGGCTGATGACGATGTTGATCTTTTCCGTGAGGGCTTTGAAGCAGATTACAGATCGCGCGAAGATGATGCCTACGAGGGTATGGGCCTGGACGACGACGGTGAATTCGACGACATGGATCTGGGCTCCAGACGGAGGCTGGAGGCACAGTTGAATCGACGAGACAGGGAAGTTGCCCGTCGACAGCGTATTCCAGCCGCGTTTCTCCCGGGTGATGATGATGATGGCGAAATTGACCTTACTGCGCAACCTCGCCGACGTCGCCACCACTATGACGAGGACCCTGACGATGCCATGGATGCCGACATTATGGACGAGGAACTTTCACTCGAAGCGCTCGGCGATGTCAAGGCAGCTAATCTGACTGAGTGGGTTTCGCAACCTCCAGTCCAGAGAACAGTCAAGCGTGAATTCAAAGCATTCCTCACCTCCTATACAGATGCTTCTGGCTCGTCTGTTTACGGTAACCGCATTCGTACTCTCGGTGAAATCAACGCCGAGTCACTCGAGGTCTCCTATGAGCACTTGTCCGAGAGCAAGGCCATCTTGGCATACTTCTTGGCAAATGCTCCTTCGGAAATGCTGAAGCTCTTTGACGAGGTCGCCATGGATGTAGTTCTCCTGCATTACCCGGATTATGAGCGCATCCACTCGGAAATCCACGTGCGCATCTTTGACCTGCCTGTGCACTACACCCTTCGCCAATTGCGCCAATCGCACCTAAACTGTCTTGTTCGCGTTAGCGGCGTTGTAACTCGACGAAGTGGTGTCTTCCCTCAGCTCAAATATGTCAAATTTGACTGCACCAAGTGTGGTATTACCCTGGGACCGTTCCAGCAAGAGTCCAATGTCGAAGTCAAAATCACCTATTGCCAGAGCTGTCAGTCTCGGGGTCCCTTTACACTCAACTCAGAAAAGACTGTATATCGAAATTATCAGAAGTTGACCCTGCAGGAGTCTCCTGGTACAGTCCCGGCTGGTCGCTTGCCGCGAACCCGCGAAGTCATCTTGCTGTGGGATCTTATTGACAAGGCCAAGCCTGGCGAGGAGATTGAAGTAACTGGCATCTACCGCAACAACTACGATGCACAACTCAACAACAGAAATGGTTTCCCTGTTTTTGCCACCATCTTGGAAGCAAACAATGTCATTAAAGCGCACGATCAGCTGGCGGGATTCCGCATGACGGAGGAAGATGAGCACGAAATTCGCAAGCTGTCACGGGACCCCAACATTGTGGACAAGATCATCAACTCCATGGCCCCCAGCATTTATGGCCACACTGACATCAAGACTGCCGTAGCCCTCTCACTGTTTGGCGGTGTAGCAAAGACGACAAAGGGACAACACCATGTCCGCGGTGACATCAACGTACTTCTTCTTGGCGACCCTGGTACCGCCAAGTCTCAAGTGCTCAAGTACGTTGAAAAGACAGCACACAGAGCTGTATTTGCAACTGGTCAAGGTGCCAGTGCCGTCGGTTTGACAGCCAGTGTGCGGCGCGATCCTTTGACCAGCGAATGGACCCTCGAAGGCGGTGCCTTGGTGTTAGCCGACCGAGGTACTTGCTTGATCGACGAATTTGACAAGATGAATGACCAAGATCGGACATCTATCCACGAAGCCATGGAGCAGCAGACCATCTCCATCTCCAAGGCTGGTATTGTGACAACACTACAGGCGCGATGCGGAATCATTGCAGCCGCCAATCCCCCGGCCGGCCGCTACAACTCTACCCTGCCCTTCTCACAAAACGTCAACCTCACTGAGCCCATTCTGTCACGTTTCGATATTTTGTGTGTCGTGAGGGATACTGTCGAGCCTGAAGAGGACGAACGACTGGCTCGGTTTATTGTTGGATCCCACAGCCGCAGCCACCCTCTTAGCCAACCGACCCAGGACTCGATGCAAGTTGAACAATCTTCCCTGCAGGCAGAGACCCAGGGGACATCTGCTTCGTCAACAAAGAAGGAGGGTGATATTCCGCAAGCCCTACTTCGCAAGTACATCCTGTACGCGCGGGAGCGATGCCACCCTAAGCTGTACCACATGGACGAGGACAAGGTCGCTCGGTTATTTGCGGACATGCGCAGGGAATCGCTTGCCACTGGCGCTTACCCCATTACTGTATGCTCTCACATATCTGCCTCTCGTAACAAGTCGAATTGTGCTAACATGCAACACACAGGTCCGTCACCTGGAAGCCATCATTCGTATCAGCGAAGCTTTCTGCAGGATGCGCCTGTCGGAATACTGCTCCACGCAGGACATTGACCGTGCCATTGCCGTTACGGTGGAAAGCTTTGTCGGCAGCCAGAAGCTCAGCTGCAAGAAGGCTCTGTCTCGTGCATTTGCCAAGTACACCCTTACAAGACCGGGTGCCAGTCAGAGAAGAGGTGCTCAGAGACGCACAGCTACTGCTTCAGCCTAAGACATAATCATCATTTGACGCTGCAGGTATGATGGTCGGGGTGTTTGGGCTTTATGATCAGTTGGTAGCCTGGCGTATTTAGGGGGTTACGTGTATGGCTCATGAATTTTAGACGGATGTATATGGATTGCTTTGTGGGAACTGTACCCTGGCGCCGGGGCGTGGTATCTACGATAGTTGCATAATGAACAAAGATCAAAACCTAGCGACGGCGCATCCGGTGTCTATATTTGCATAACCCGCCGTCCGTGTTGCAAGCCGGGACGACGTTTAAAATGGCGTGTGCACGATTTGCGTGTCCTGACTTATCACATCTTCCAGTTTTCTTCTGAAAATAAACCATCCTGAATCTATCGTCCGTCTCTCCACTTCATTATACACCCGATTCTTGGTCTATACGAGTCCTGGCACCACCCTCCAATACAGCCCTTCCCCCGAGCTCCGCCGTGGGCGAAGCCTCTCTCCTACGATTAGGCGCAGGTAGCATTTCCCGTCTCGGCATTCGCAGTACATGGACACCAGCTTTTTTAATAATAGCATGAGTTTATTAGTTTCTGTAGTCACTAACATAAATAGAAATAAAATGCACTACGAACAATTTAGGCCAGCAGCACAGGGTGGAGAGAATATAAGATCATGGTTACCGCCAAGTATCGTGGGTTCTGTTTGTCTGACTTGTGCCGTCTACAGACGGTCTCTTGACTAGCTGGCCGTTATTCTTCCTGTCGTCAAGTATGATTGCAGACACTGCAAAGAGCCTATGAGTACCTGATCGATCCTCTACATGCATCGGTCGACTTCCTGTTGGAAGCTCTTGCTAGGCCGGCACCTGGGTTAGCAGCTTTCTCTCAACCTTGGCTTCTTCATCGCCCCTGTTGTACGTTCAATGCCAGTGGATTTTTTCGAGTCACCGTCCATATTAGACTCGGCGTTCTTTGCCTCCATCTCTGCCAAGTTACGCCACGGCCTTGCAGAGCTGGCTTGGCGCTGTTGGCACGGGCTCCCCAGTTATCTTACCGGCGCCGATCGACGCATATGTTTCTATTCTCGTCTGCTATTCCCCGATTAGGAAGGAGAAGCCGGACCAGGGCCACTTAAGGTCAACTGTTGGTATTAATAAATTCATGTCAGCTAGGCAGCACCCCTCTCGTTGTAAGTTGGACCAGATATCTGGACCTTTCCTCAATCTTTTCTCTGCCCATCTAACAAATACTCCTTTTTAGCATTTTGAACGACTTTTGATGCGGCAGTAGGCCGTGTACAATCGATACATCAGATACAAGTGTCTTGTCATTAAATTACCAGCCCAGTACTATCTTCTATAGCTCAGTAATAGTATAGTCTTTCGCTATTTCTCCTTACATGCCGTCTTCGAGTCTGCCGGTCAGATCTCTTGATGCAAATTCCCACCCAAACCTCAAGTCACATTGCCTGGTTATGCTCTCCGTGACTGACGACCTATCGCAAGATAACCGTTCAATGCTGCACTTCTTTCAAGAAGTCGTGCGCGACACCTGGCAGGTCCACTTGCAGACCTTCCTCTGGCTATAGTTGGGTATTTCGAAGCGGCACGTCTGTCCTTCTGGACATGCATTGTCCTCGGTGCAGTCCCTGGCGTTGGAAATCGGGATGGGCTCGCAGCGGCAGTCACAGCGCTTATTAGAAACGGGTTTGGAAGAGTCGCAGGTCCACTTGCAGACCTTTCTTTGGCTGTAGTTGGGTATTTCAAAGCGACACGCCTGCCCGTCCGGGCATATGTTGTCCTTGGTGCAGTCCTTGGCGTTGTTGATCGGGACGGATGTGCAGCGGCAGTTGCAGCGATCTTTAGAAACGGCGGTTGCGGCGGTCGCGAAGGCAAAGACGACGGCAAGCAGAGATTTGAGATGCATTTTGATATATATTGCGCGAGCGCGTGCGCATGTGTATATAAGTGTGTGTCTCTGTGTGTGTGTACAACAGAGCCCATGCGTCTGACCCTACGCTTTTATAAGTGTTGAGTTGCCTTGCTACAAATACCTAGCAAAGTCTTTGCTACCGAGTACATATGTCAACATTAAAGCATTAGCTGCCAAGCTTGACGGCGCAGTGCAAGGACGTCAATGGTAGCATCCAAGGCCGAAGCTGACGTAAAAGCCAAGCCACCAGCCTAACTACCGACATGGATCGACGACGATGTTGGCTTTCAAGAGAGCAGGATGTGATCAATATTCGCTCATCGTTCGCCCTTTCACTTAGCGTTGGTCTGAGTTGCCAAGAACTGCGGCAAGACAACTATGAGTTGTGTCTCAAGTGCTATGACGTGGTGGAAACAGCGGCGCCCAGGAACTAGTGGCTGGCTTGGTACATATGTACCTATTTGAAAAGCGGTCAATGCTGCTCTCGGAACGCAGAATAAACTACAAGAAAGCCTTTGCGTTACCACAGTAAGTAGACAGTTGACGTCCGTCATCCCCTTTCGAAGACTGAGAATACCATTTTGTTTCGTTTCAGCGATTCTAACATTGAATTAGTTACCACCTAGACAATATGGGTGGATATTTGCTATGTGGGAGGCGGCAAAACTATTTGTGTCTGTCTCAAGATCCTGCTAGCCAGACAGAATGGAAAAGAGATACAAAGCGACAGTGTAAAAGGCATGTAGCGATAGCCCGATCCCGGTTCCCATGCATTCGCGTCTAACATATATTTATAGTATAACTCAACTCATTCCCATAGTCTTTGTGGCTTGTATCACTGTCAGTTTGGCGTTTGCCATGGCAGGCTCCTACATGGTGCCGCTTGAAGTGGAAGATAGTGCCTGCTCAGATCCGCCAATTCGAAGGGAATGGAGATCTCTGGGCGCTGCGGAGAAGCAAGCCTACATTAGTGCTGTCAAATGCCTTTCCGATAAGCCGTCCAAATTCGACAACAGCACTTCTCGGTTTGACGACTTTGCGCTGGCTCACATATCGGAAGGATTGGATATACACTATGCAGCGGCATTTCTGCCGTGGCATCGACACTTTATCCACACATTTGAAGAAGCTCTCAGAGCAGAATGCCTCTACAGTGGCTCGCTTCCGTACGTCATTGCATGATATATGGGACTAAAATGCTTGGTTAACAACACATATTAACAAAGTATAGCTATTGGGATTGGTCATTGGATGCCGCAGATCTTGCCCAATCTCCTATTTGGAGCACATCCGGATTCGGCTCCGACGGAACTTCGACTGGCGAGCGAGGAGTCGGAAACGGCCACTGTGTGACTGACGGGCCGTTTGCCAACTCGACTCGTAACTGGCAAGCAGAAGAAATAGGAAGCCAATTCAAGATATCGCGCAACCCGCACTGTCTCAGCCGGGGGTTTCAGACTGGTGATGCAAAGAAGAAGCTTCAGGCGAGAGTAACACCGGAAAGTATCATAAGTATACTGGAACAAGATTCATACGCCGAATTCTTCAAGAAATTAGAGGACCATGCGCACAACGCGATTCCGCAATTTATAAGAGGTGACTTTCTGTTGCAGACAGCACCAAATGGTATGCAGCAAATTCATTTCTATCTAATCTCGTGAATAAACGGGTTCTCTAACAAATTAGACCCTGTCTTCTACTTGCATCATGCCCAAGTAGACCGGTTATGGTGGTTATGGCAACGAAGGAATAATGGTTCTCGCATGTGGCAGTACCACGGCCCCATCTCTAATGTAAGATTGGACGAAACTAACCAGAATAACTCGGCGAGCTTGGAAGATGTTATATCTCTAGGCAAGTTTGGAAAGACAGTCGCCGTTGGAGATGTAATTAATACACACGCGGTTAATCTTTGTTATAGTTATTAATTTTCATTTGACTACAGAGCGAAACAATCTCAACCTTAAAAGCTATTAATTTAAAAACAGAAAAAAAAATAAGTACAACCCTTTTCATTGTCTTTTACATTCCATATTATTGGTGCCCAGAAGGTCGTTGCGCTCCATGTGAATGTACCGTCTTGCACCGCTTTTTCTTTTCCGTCCCTCCAATACGTCTTCTCCGCTGATTGCGGAAACTGTTGGCCAGAAGATGGGAATGCCAAGCCCGTTGTCAGCAGAATAATACAGGCAAGTATGGTGGAACGATCGCTGCCAGACATCATCCCCGACCACGGAGGTGGTTGGACGAGAGACGAAGGGGCCGGCGTGCATTACCATACGGCTCGTGCAACCCCATTTTATGCATCTCTGACCGCAAACAATACCAACAAATTGACAATCTTCTGCAGATGTTCGGAATATCGCACTGCCTGGTTGGTGGTACAACCTAGAATGAGTCAGAAAGGGCCACATACATTCTTATCGCGTCAGCTCAAACACATTAAAAAAAATGTAATAATGTTGCAATATTCAGCATAGTATCACATTTGTCTGTCCTTGTCACTACGAGATGACGCTGATGAATGGTAAAATTTGACTAACGGCGAAATAAGAAACAAGGCTTACGAAACCCAGCTCTAGTTACCAGGACAAAACTAATGGGCATAAAAGCAGAACGGCTCTGTTGTCCCGTTGACTGTTGGATGCTTGACTTTCGAGTCAATATGCATTTCTCCAGCCGTTGAAAGCGTAACTGTCGAGTCAATATGCATTTCATCGGCCGTTGAAAGCGAAGCTGTCGAGTCAATATGCATTTCAGCGGCGGTTGAAAGCGTGACTGTCGAGTCAATGTACATATACCTGCAGCACCAAGGCAGGGCCAAGTTGATCATCCATGCCTAAAGAAGGGAGACATGCTTAGGCCCCGCGTGGAGTCAGTCCGTTGTGAGGCAACTTGACTCGACGACAGCCCAGTAATAATATTAACAAAGACTATAAATAGCTCTACAGCTCCCATTCAATCATAGAATGTGTGGAATGTTCGTATTATCAAGACAACAGTCCTACAGCATCCATAAATCTTTAGCATATAACTGATTCCTATCCATATTCCTTCACAAACACAGCTGTTCAAAATGAAGACTTCTCAATTCCTGGCGGTACTCCTTACCCTTGCTCAGAGTGGACTAGCACAAAAGCACTGTCGTCCTGGCGAACGTTATTGCGGGCGCGGACTACTCCCAGATGGTAACTACTGACATCCGTTATATACGTACCAACTGGAAGCTAAACAGAACAGGGTGGACGAAGAAGGAACTTGAGGATACTGCTAAATTAAATCCCAACGTTCCGTCTCAAGGACTAGCAGATGTAGAGAATGTTCTCTTCGCGTGCCTAGTTAACAACAGAGTCGAGGCTATCCAATACTGCTGGGCAGGCTGCATCAGCACTGGGTCTGATACCGTGAATGACTATTGCGCTGATTTTGTAAGGTTCACCTTTAATCCTGCCCAGCGAGTTGTTTCTAATATTCGAAATCTAGAAAAAAGAATAGGATTTGACGTACAGGCCAAGTCAAAAACTAGGTGTTCTTCCTAGAATCCCATAGAATTACAGCAACATCACAAGGAGTAGCTCTATTGCCTTGATATAGGTTTTCCCCTGAATGTACTTAGGTTTTCCCTATATTGTAATCTGAATAGAAAGGCATTCTATCCAAACTATAGCTCTATTATATTCTACGACCCAGCTCACCGGCTGCTGCGTCGGTCGCAGGATCGGCTGACCGCATGAGCCCTAGGTAAACATCCTAATCTGATATGTTGACAAGGAATTTTATCAAAGTGGACATTGGTTTTGCGATATCGGCTCGTCTTATCACTAAGATGTATTTGACTGTCACACGGTTAGCCCACAACAAAGGTGTTGGGTCAACAACGGTTACTCAACAACAAAGAAAGTATCATCACAGGGAATCACGACTTCAAGATGGAGCAGTCGAGTTGCCTTGGCTTACCCTGGTCCTTGAGACTGTGTCGGACACGGCTCCTCGTCACAGCGTCGCCGACTGACTAAGATGAATAGCTATATTCATTCCATTGCCTTCTACTTGCCTCGCATCCTCTCATTTACTATTATTGGTGCCCAAAATACCGTTCCTTGGCTCCTTTCTATCCCTTACACGTCCTCTCCACGGGAATGCCAAGCCCGTTGCTTGCCCCGGCGTAGTTACTGCCACGGTGTTATTGGTAATGTTTCTTCATGTTCGGAAGTCGATTTCCGGCGTGTCGATGCATACTTGAGTTGCTACTAAACACCGATCTCGGCACATCGGCGACTGCACGTGTTCGCTCCGCAATTGAAAGCTTCAGACGTCGGCAATTGAATAGAGTTCAAGTTGTCTTGGCGCTGCATGCAGCTAGGAAAAAATCCCTCCACGTTTATCCAGTACTGGAACATCATTTACATTCATCAATTGATATTAATCACTGGCCACTACGTGCTAAGCGACAAGAATGACTTATCAGCGCAATCTGGCGTGAATTTATGGTAGTAGTTGTTCGTTGTCATATAAATTCCTAGTTATAGAGAGGATGTGGTGAAGTTCTAGGCTCGCCGAGGGCAAGCTACATATAACATTCCCCTAACCTATAACAAGCAAGATCGTCCATAAGACCTCTTCCTACAAAAGATTCTCTAAGCATTAGGTAAGATTGGTAATAGGTGGTCTAATGTAGGCAAACCAACAGTTGTGCCAGCTAAATCCCTGCAGTCGTCTAAATTTGTTTATTCTCTTCCTCTGGACCGTGGAACGGCAATGCTTGGCTCTAATGCTAAATTTTTCCACGGCGATGTGGGTTTGTCAGCCAAAATTTGGTTGGGCCATTGTGTATCGTGATTGTTACAAGATGATTCTGACAACAATCATATCTCGAAAAAGTATATATACAGATAATCTTGCATCATAGATGGTCGTGGAAATAATACAGCGCTCCAAATCACATAATACATCTTTCTAGAATAAATGGGCTTGGGCCTCTCTGCAATGCTACAGCACATCGCTCTGGCGCTGGCCTTTAGTAGCCATGTGAACGCTTACAATGATTTTCATTTTGGATTCAATTTCCATGATATCGGGTACGCGCCACAAGGGGTCAACATCTCCGTGGACCCTCGCATCATTCGCAAAACCCTCCAGAGAGTGCGAGATTATCGGCCAGTCACCGGTCTCTTTGATGACTGGACAGTAGAAGGGCCGAGCAAGGACAACATCACCAGTGTCGCAAAGTACTGGGCGGATGAATACTCCTGGGAAGATGCTCAGCAGCAAATGAACCGCGACTACAAGCACTATATTACCAAGGTTCCTGGCTCCGGCAACTACACTTCGGACATTCCTCTGCACTTTCTGCACCACAAATCGGAAAATGATAGTGCTATACCGTTGCTCCTGCTGCATGGATGGCCGTCAACATCACTAGAATGGTCCAAAGGCATTCGTCCCCTTGCAGAATCTTCGGAGCTGTCGTTTCACGTTGTGGCCCCCGACTTGCCGGGCTTTGGATTCAGCCCGCCAGCAACGCAAGATGGTCTAGGAACACGGGAAATGGGAAGAGCGGTGGATGCCTTGATGAAGCAGCTTGGTTACTCGACCTACGGCATTGCCACGACAGATACGGGCTGGTTTATCGGAATGTGGATGGTACATGACGTTGCCGACTCTATAATTGGCCATCTTTTCGACTTCTGGTACCCGAACCCAAACTCTACTGATATAGAACGCTTCCAGGCCAACCAGACGACGGCAGAAGAAACAGCCGTTATTGAATCCCTGCATGTCTGGGACGACTTTCACAACGCGTATTCCATGGTTCATAGTCAGAAGCCAATTGCCATGTCTTTGGCCCTGGCAGATAGCCCGGTGGGATTTTTAGGATGGTACTGGGACTTGAGCTACGCTATTAGCGACGGAATTCCACATAGTATGGATGAGTTGATTACGGATGCCTTGATGCTGTGGCTCCCCGGCCCGTATGGCAATATTAGGTCGTATCGACAAATCTTTCGAGTATGTGCAGAAACCACCTTCTCAAATTACTTGTTGCATTCTTTACACTAACACGGTTGCAGCCTGATATAGTAGACTTCCCAAAAACGAATGTACCCAGTGGCGTCAGTCAGTGGGGATGGGGTCATGGACCGTTTCCAGGTATCGCAAATTTTCCTTTCACGGTACGTATCATGTTGACTTTGGGGAGTAATATGATGCTGACAAAATATTCTAGCCTCGGAGCTGGATAGAACGTTTGTGCAACGTCACTTACTTCAAGACTCATAAGAGGGGTGGTCACTTTCCTGCCAGGACTCTACCTGAATATTGGGTATCGGACGTGCGAGAATTCTTTAAAGGTCTCTAGAAAAAAAAAGTTTAGAAGAGTTACAAAGTCTTGGACTATTACAATTTATGGATAAACTTTTTCTCAATACACTGAGCTGCACTACCAACTAATGAGCCTCGGGTCAATGCAAGGACTATCACGTTTCTTTTCAGCTACTACTGTTGGCACTCACTACCCTGGTCGGCGAGATGACATCACAGTAGGCATGACCTGTCATGAGAGTGCGGATCTCATATATAAACATGTCAACGTAAGTGAAGTATAAATTGCTCCTCTTCCCTCCCTTTCCCTGCCTAGCCACGATGACGCCAACCTTTCCTTCGTCTAGAAACATGGCCCTCTAAAAGCCTTTATCGCTTGGGGCGGAAAACCACGTAATATAACTGTTTAATATACCTTCTACGAGCTTTGGGTATGCCTTTACCTGGAAAGATTGAATCCTTCTCATCGTCCACAACAGGCAATAGTCTTTGTGGACTAATAAATGTACTTGGAGGCTCCCTACAGTGCGCCGATTCGGAAAGACCGAATCGAACTGCTGAAAAATTTCGGGCCACGACAGCGTGCCCTTCTTCAACCCTCGGAGCA